AACCTCTCTGGGCAGCCTGTTCCAGCACCTCACCACTCTCTCTGTAAAGAACTTCCCCTTGACATCCAACCCAAATCTTCCCTCCTTCAGCTTAAAACCATTTTCCCTTGTCCTGCTATTTCTACACTTTCAAAGAGTTGACTCCCCTCCTGTTTATAGGCTCCATTTAGGCTGCAATGAGGTCAATCCTCAGTCTTCTTTTTCTCCAGGCTGAACAAGCCCAGCTCCCTCAGCCTGTTTTCATAGGGAAGGCAAACATTTTAATAGTTTTTCTTCCTTATGTTCCCAGAATCCCTTTCCTCCCATCAATATGACATACTTCTTGGGGTACCTGGGTTCAAATATTCAATACCAGCCCTCAGTCATAGTTCTCTGCAGTGATCACTAAACCGCTATTGTCCCAATATTCCGCTAATACTAAGAAAAAGGCATGCAGAGAAGTGGAGCAATTCCTTGAAACTACCTAGAAACTGAAAGCCATTTTTCAAGAAATGTGATTTTTGCTCAGTAAAACATGGCTGTCAGAAAATCCTGACTGTTTGGGAGTGTGGGCCTTGTCCAGTCAAAACTAGTTAAGGACTGGGCTGACGTGCCAAGATGTTTCACAAACACCACCAAAACGTCTGTCACGAGTCACAAGTTTCTTTTTTTAATTTCCCCGGGACATAACAACCTGGCCTGGTTTCATATATTATAGATGAATAGTGAATGCTTCACTATAAATCCTGGTGAGTTGTCTTCCAAAATATTTTTTCTGCAACATTCTAAAATGTAAAATAATTATGATTTAATGCTTAGTATGATGTAGCTTCTACAGGGATGGAGAGGACTTTTATTAGTCTTTCTTGTGAATAACACAATCACTTAATAATTTTGCTTATTTGTTCCATTTTTGCTATAGTGACTTAACTGTCAGTCTTCGTTCTTCTAACCCTTTATTCATTGTCAGCTGTGGATAATCTGCTAGCCCACATGAGAGGGCAGGTTACATTCAAAGGAATTTACTTTGGTTTAGGGACATGTGCAAAATCTGAGCTAATTGCAGTGCAACTTTATACTTTAACTGCTTCTTATTAGCAGCTTAACAGATGTCTGTGACTTCACACTCTCATGTTCAGCAGGTGATGGGAACCCACAGGACTCAGTGAGGTGCAGGCTATTCTCTGTAAAGGACTTGTTAGAGCCAAGCTCCCGTGTTCCCTGCTCATGCCTTTGAAGATGCTGTAAAAAGGTGATGGTAAGGAGCTGTTGCCATTTGATGGATCTGTAGGCCCAGCACGTGACATATATTTATTTTTTGGACCCAGATCTATGTCTAATTAGAGGAAGTGGCAACGTCAGCATCTATCAAGTATTAAAAGACTCAGAGTCAGTGGACTCTGACCCACTGACAGCCATACTTGTGAAGGAGATGTTTCCATTGTAAGGCAGAGAAAGCAATAACAGAAAAGACGAAAACATAAGAAACAGGGAAAATACAGAGGCTTAGTGAGGCACAGAATGACTTTCTGTAGTCTTTTTTGTCTAGACAAAAGCATGTTTTATACTGTAAGTAATACAGATTTCCAGGAAAACATTCTGATCCAGGCTTGGATCAGAAGTAGCGATCTCAAACTTTTGCATGCTCAGTGAATGAACAAACAGCTTTTAGTCCAACAAGATTTATACATTCTAGAAAGCACCTTTCAGTTTGCATTTAAAACTACTTCCTTAATTGAGGGATGGGTCCACTAGCAAAAAAATGAGAGATCTTTCTGTGAGTTGATCTATCGGAGATTTCCTATATTAGGATTGCAGTGAAATGGTTTGTATGTTTGAATGTGCAGGCTGCTGAGCTGCATGTCCGCCTATATGAATAGAACATGTGGAATTCTGTGTGTACCATTGCTGCTCTTCCAAGCTTACAGGGTGGAGATTACTGAAAGATGATAGGGGCCATGAGATTGTTCTGTTTTCAGTGTCCTCCTTGAAGAAAAATAGTGTAAAACATGTTTGTGTGACAGATATAAAAGGGCATTTATTCCCTTTTGGCAAGGACTGCCCAACTATGATCTTCATCTACCTTCAGGCTACCAAGCACATACACTGGACAAACTTCTGGTGGTGCATAAAAAGCAGAAGGGAACAAAGAAGAGAGACAGGATATATTCAATGCCCAGGCAACTATAATAATCCAAATAAGAGAGTAAACACAGACGAGAGATTTCATGATGCCTTACTCTGAGAGACACTTGTTTTAATCCTCTTGTGAGTGCATACGATGCTTTTCCAAACTTTGTATTAGTTGGTAGGATAACGTAGTACTTTGAGCACAAAAATATACTTTGTTCTGTCTTCCTTTTATGCACATATTACCTTATCCTGCAGCCTCTGAGGAGAAAAACACAGCCAAAGGATAGCAAGGAAGGAGAAAAGAGGAAACCAGTGTGAATCAATGATTGCTCTCAGCTTTGAGAAGCTCTCATATTTGACATGTAACTGCATATATGCCATAGAGATTCAACTCTTCTCCACACATTCAAAATACACTCAGAAAGCAAAAATAAACTGCCAGAACATACTAAAGAAATAGTCTAGACCTCATTCCCTATGATGGATCATTGTACAACCAAGCTGGTATATATTTAGAGTATTTAGAGTAATCTCCAGGCAAAGGTACCTTCCCAGCTTCTCTACTGATTTTAAACAACTAATTAGCCAATAGCTAAAAGGAGATTGGAATCACATTGCTCTCATGCAAGTCCCTTTGAGTAGAGACTTGTCTTTCGATAGCTTAGCCTCTCACTTAAAAGTATTAAGTTCAACAGTGGGGTAAAAAATCAAAATTTAAAGGGAGTTCAGAAAGGAGTGGTGAAGATATTAGAGGTGTGGGGAGCATGCTTTCCTAAGAAAGGTTTGGATGATAAGATCAGTGATATCTTGCAAGAAATGTAGCTATAGTCAAAAAGATGCAGTAGGTAGATTCACTATAGAGGGAGGTTTTCATTCACATTTCAAGAAAATCAAAGGAGTTATCATCCAACAGCTCAGAACAGAATTCAATTTACATTGATAAATAGCTTGTGTATGTAAAGAAGGATTCTTCCAGAGTAATGAGGTAAAACTACTAATGATAAATGTCTTGGAAGAATGCTACAACAGCACTCACAAAGCAGTCTCACAGGAAAAGCAGAGAAATTCAGCTGCCTGGGAAGTTTATGCTGCAACTGGACAGAGAGCTGGAAATCTGTGATAGAGCACTGTTTCAATTAGAGAGATGAGCCAGAAGAGCTTCTAGCCTTTCCCATCTTTGTGTTTTATGAGTACAGGTGTTACAGGCATGCAAAGTAGCATATCTTAATTGTCATCTCCAAATCAGACCAGTTCCACTTGTGTTTGGTTTAGCATACTGTATTTTGATGAAGTTTTCATCTGATTTCCCTTAAGGACAACAGTAGCATTTCCATTCATTCAAGAAGTCAATCTCTTATGCTATTTCATTTACTATGAGCATAGAGAATTTAAAGTGTGAATTAAAACAATGGCGAAGCCTTTATTACACGAGGTAAATAGCTGCAGGAAAGCAAACCTAGAACTTTGACAGTAAAAATAGCTGTTGATTGCCAGAGCTTTACTTATACACTGCTAAACTTCACTCCGGGAAGAGAAAGCTGCACAAATTGCTGCTGGAGCCTAGGAACTTCAAAGTGACTAACATGGAAGTGCAAATCAATACAGTAACCACATGAAACTTTTCAAAGGTATTTGATGCCTTCATATGTTCATTTTGAAAAGTTACCTCGCAAATTCCCACTAATCCTATCTTTCCTGAACTCTCAAGCCACTTCCTGAAAATAAAATCTAACAAGTCCTAGTGAATTGTTCTTATAACACGGAGATTTTGCCAGGATGTTCTTGGAGGATATAAAAAGCTTCATCTGAGCTGACTTTGGAAAAAAGTTACAAAGCTGCTGTTGTGCACCTACTGCCCAAGACCTTCCAGCATGGTCTTACTGGGGCAGTCTGCAGGTCTCTGCAGGACGGTCATTGCATGTGATCTTTCTCAAGAAATCTGCCCCTTGTGTATGTCCTACTCTAAACTTCTCATTAAAATGTGGGAATTCTGATTTTGCTATTTTCTGCTCCTGCATAACATACCATAGTGTTCTGGAATTTGTGTGTACAATGTTTATTTGCTTTCTAGCTTTGTGCTTTGTTAAAAGTTGAAAATGCTGCTATTGGCTTGTTGAAGTCATAATGCTTTTATGTATTTAGGATCCTGGAGTCACAGAATCATAGAATCATAGAATGGCCTGGGTTGAAAAGGACACCAGTGATCATGTAGTTTCAACCTCCCTGCCGCAGGCAGGGTTCCCAACACTACACCAGGCTTCCCAGAGCCACATCCAGCCTGGAGTCCCTAGACAAATCATCTGAACAACAGTATTTCTGATTTTTATTACTCAATAATTATTTCACATGATCTATAAGCTCATACACAGTCATAATACATTCACTTGGCAGTTTTGCTATGTAAGATACTTCAGATATCTTTAGTCTTTCTGAAATGACTGTATATTGTACTGTGACCTGCACACCATGTTACAAGAGCTTTGAGCAAATATTGCTGACTTCAACGAACTTTTGGTGAGGGCCACATTTCCTAATGTCAGCATCTCAGGAAGAGTACTGCACTAATAGGATCCTTTCAACTGTTAAAATGCAACAAAAAATATTTAAGTGTTTGTGTTAAAACATATTTCACAGTGTTGTCATACTTACAAGTAATAAAAAAAGCAGAAATGTTTATACTGGTGACTCCACAAAAATGCTTTATACTGTTTTTAAGGTTTGAAAATAAAAATGGATATTTCTCTTTCTAATGTTATGAACTAAGAATTCACAGCTGAAATTCACTTTCATCTTCACTTTGACCTGTAGAGACATTTACTTACATTATTCAATACCCTCGATAAATCAAACATGGCCCCTTTATTTAATTAGAAGAAACAACAGAAGGCTTATTTAAAAATGTTTATTGTAAAAAAGTGGCTAGAAAAAAACCATAAATTTCACTTCACGCTTTCTTCAAGTTATCTATAGATGCTGCTATAGGCAACAATTCACTTTCATTCATAACACATTCAGTCATATAAAAATAAAAATATTTACATTATGTCCACATACTTTACAAAATCATCAATAAAAAAGGCACTTGGAGGGGTAATGCTGAAAATATTGCATTTCCTTTGTGCATTTAACAAAAAAATAATTGTTAAACTCCCATGAGTCCCCTCTCTTGCACTTATTCCCGTTTTTAAAAAATAGCAAAGTTTAGAGGAACGATTCCATATTAGAAGATGGTCAGGCATGCACCAGGAATGTTTGAAGCTACAGTCTTCTTTTTTTTCTTTTCTTTTTTATATTTTTTTTTGTTAAGGCACATGCGGTTAATTCGTGACTTTAAGTTTTTCGTACATTCTCTTACACATTTTCCTCTCTAAATTATCCCTCTTTAAAGCATTTTAGATCAATAGTGAAGGCCTTGGCTTTAATAAAATAAAACTTTTTTAAAAAAAACAACACAGCAATGAATAATATTAAACATTTACTAAGGTAAACTTGGAATACTTTTTAAGGCACCTGAGATTAATGGTGTCTGGTAAAATTCACTTGGGTAGTATTTTTATCAAAAGTTCCATTAAAATACTGTTTCTTTGGTTGAAATGGCTTGGCAGGAATGTATTAGTAACTTTGCAGCCTTCCCTAAGCAAGAAAAGACTACATAGATTTGGCTTCATCTATAAAGAAAGCGGATAATGCTTCTTCCTTTAAATCTGCTTGAAATGTCATGCATGGCATCTTTCCCCATACCTCAGCGTTCACACTTAAGAATGTGAATGTGTGACTAAACAGAACTACTTAAGGCTCCTTTCTACTGACATTCTAATTTCTTCCACTACTTTGTTTGTTTGTTGGTTTTTTTTGGGTGTTTTTTTTTTGGTTTTTTTTTTGGGGTTTTTTTTTTTTTTTTGGCTGGAAAGTGGAAGAGAAAATGCCTTTGGATTTCCACTTATCATTTGGAACAAGAGTGGAGAAATGCATTGAGTCCAGGTAAACATTGACTGCATGACTCAGTGTGCTACACAGCAGCCAGATTCCTCATGTTTGTGCAGAAGAGACATTCTGGAGAAAGTTTTGGAGCAATTTTTGCACTGGTATTTCTTCACATCCGAGTGGGTCTGCAAATGAGCCCTCAGATTGGATCTGTCTGCAAAAGCCCTGTTGCAGTGAGGACAGGAAAACGGTTTCTCTCCTAAAAAGGAAACATCAAGCAAAAATACAGTAAAGGGTTAAAAAAAGCTTAGGACAGGTAAAACTCACTGTTATCCTAAGAAAAAGAAAACAGACAGAAATGATTTATTACAGTCAAAAACATGTGTAGCACAAAGTTAATCAGGTCACAGATACAACAGCTTTCAGCACTGTGGATTGCACTTGCAGAACTTAGGCTCTGCAGAATCTGCTAGTAAGTACAGTCTCTGAAGACAAGGTGCTGACACCTTCTGCACATACAGGTGCAGGCAGTATTCCTAGGCTGGGCTCCTCCCACTATTTTCACATATTTTCATAGAGTGTCTTTCTGCTTAGCTCTGTGTGAATGACTTGAAATGAGGGCTTTGGCTTAGAAGTGGCAAACAGCTGTACAGATGTTAAATTGTACCCAGTGTTATACTGAAAATCATGCTTTTGCCTCAACACACAAGAAATGCTTTGGTGATGAAGTGTTGCTAATTCTTGAGGACTTGAGAGAGTGCATGTAAAACTTGCCAATTGCTTAAGGGGTCAGAGATAAGCCTCTCGTGCATTGCCTTTCTGCTTTACTATTTTTAAGAGTCAGCTGAAGTCTTCTGAACATTATCATTTTCCAAAGCCTGAAAGTTACCATAAAATCCTTATAGAAACACCTTCAGCTAGTGGAAAGAGGTTATCAGAACAGAATCTGTCCCACAGCTATGCTTCTCTCCCACCACTCCTCAAAAGGGGAAAACTGGCCATTTAATGATACATTTAAAACTTCATGTATGCATCTCCTGGCTAGTCAAGAAACAGCGCTGTTTGTTCTACTGATGGAAAAAAATATCAGAAAGCAATAGCAACAGTCTGCAGCTCTTACCAGTGTGGGTTCTGATGTGCCCTTGAAGCAGCCAGGGTCTGGAGAAAGCCTTGCCGCAGATCTTGCAGACACAAGGTAGCGTGTGGGTCCTGATGTGCATCTTAAGTGCTCCCAGGCTGACATACTCCTTGTCACAGTACTTGCAGCTGAACGATTTCCTAGACTGGGCATCACAGTGCAGCTGCTTGTGTTTGGCCAACCCAGAGAAAGTGGAATAGGTCTTGTTGCATAAACTGCACTGAAACTTTTCAGCTTCGATGGCATGAGGGTCTGAAAGCTTGGACTGGATTCTCTCTTCTTCATCACTAATGGGACTTTCTGAACCGCTGTGATCTTTGGAGGAGGTGTCGGATGGTGGAGGTGGGCTGACTCTTCCCAAAGATGAGGGGTATCCAGAAAGTGGAGAGAGGTCATTGGGTAGAGGAGACGGTAGCAGCCCGGTTGTAGTCCACACAGTAATGGGGTTGTAAGCTACAGAGCTCAGGATCTCTGGCTGCGGTATGATAGGGACCGGGTAGCTTTCATACAGGTATGGGGATATAATCACTGGAGAAAGAAGAAAATTTTAAGGTAAGAGAACTGAAAAGTATTTTAAAAGGCAGCAAAATTAACATTTGGGGCATTAAAAAGTGCCTAAGTCAAACACTTGGAATGTCCATCTGCCTGTAAGGCGGATTAAGGAAATAGAATTGGATACAAATATACTGATGGGTAAAGACAGTGCCGTGGAACAGATAAATTACAGCTTGAGAGTCTCCTCAAGGCAGCGTGCTGCTCCTAAATCTATGCAGCCTGATACAGCGCAGCAGTAAACTTCCTGCAGGATTTGTGCAGAAGTTTCATCTCCATTTCCTCTTTCAACTCCAAATCCTCTTTAATAACTGAGTTCAAGTGGATGAGCAAACTTCATGATTCATTCCGAGCAGCGCTGACATATTTGTCAGAACTCTCTCATTGTAAGCAAGGGGAAAAAAAAGAGCTAGCGGGGAAGTGACCCCCTCCCATAGCCCGGGGAGCAATCCCACCCCTCCTCTCCACCTCCAAGCCACAAACGCGACCTCGGAAGCAACGCGGCGGCCGGAGATTTCCTTCTGTTACCTGTATGAGTGTCCAGTTCGCTGTAGTTTGGCTTCTTGGATGAATTGAAATGTTTCTTGACCAGGAAGGAGCGTGGCATTTTGAACGCAGGCTTTCTCCTTCTTGCAGAGTCTCCTTTCGGATCGGCGCAGCGGTGCAGCACACACGCACACTATCACTGCGAGCGCATCGGTCCCTATCGCATTGTCTGCCCCATGCACTCCGCTGTGTAGTGGCACTGCAGAGGCGCCTTGAAAAGTGCCGTAAATACCCGCAAGTCAGGTGCAGGGGGGAAGGGTTTTCTGCTCCTCCAATCACTTCTGGATGTTCTCAAGCACTTTTCCAAACAGGCTGTTTTTCTGGGAGGGCTGCTCGCAGGACAGACCCAATCCCCGCTCGGAGGCTTTGCTTCAGGTTTCAGCTCCTCCCGCTGGAGACAGCTGTGCACAGAGGAGCAGAGCAGCCTGGCGGAACGCGCTGCGCTGCTGCAAAGCGGGTGCGCGGCGCTCCTCGGAATTTCAGTCTAGAAAAATGCCTTGGTCATAGTGCTTTAACAATAAAAGGTCAGTTTACTGATTGAGCTGAGTTCTCTTTTTTGCTTCCCGAATAAGTCACGTGCACTGAAACTTTTTCTTATCTTTTCTTATCTTTTTTTTTTTTTTTTTTTTTTTCTCCTTGAAGAGTCTCTTTTCCAGATGTTTGATATCAGAATTACAATGGGACACACTGCCCGTTAAGGGCAGAAAGGGGGGGGGGGACATTGCAAGAGAGATGTTATCCAGCAAAGCGAGGCTTGGAGCAAGCTGTGCGCTGCTGTGGCTGGGAGCTGCGTTTGAAATCTGCACTCAGGAAATGGTGGGGACGAGCAGTTGTGCTCCCCAGCCTGCCCCTTTCAGGCACAGGGGCCAGCGAGATGCTGGTGAGCCCAGGCTGAGGGAGTAGCCCGTGGAAACATTTCAGAGGGGATGGTAGGTTTGATATGCTGTACATATGCATACTGGTTCAGATAGGCTGTTCTTATGAAGGATACTTCCTTTTTTTTTTCTTGTTTTTCTTTTAACTTTAAAAATGTACAAAATGCAAAACTTCAACCTTTCCCTCCTTGGGAATTACTGTGTCACTCTTTTGCCTCTCCTCTTAGAGCACTGCTAAGGGAATTTTCCTAATTACTCAAAGCAGTTAAAGGATAGACAGATAAGCAACCCCCCCAAATTACAGACTGAGTGATGTCTCTTAAATGCATTTCTCCATTAGTATGTTTAAGACCTCTTGATATCCTAAGAAGGTATAATCTTTATTATGTATTTCATTTAGGATGAAAGTTTCTCAAATGGGCCACAGAATGTTCTGGTTATCTAGATTGGTTCAGAGGAGGCATTTAGTCACACATATATATATATGTGTGTGTATATTAATTTTCAAATGTTTGCGTTTTGAAAATGTGGACAGCTGAGTGCTGGTGGATTTCTAACACGGACCACACTGATTGTCTCCCATTCTGCCCCCCCCCCAGTACTCTCCCCCCTTAGCTTTTAACTCCACCTGCCCGGGCACATATTGGTATGCTGTGCGGTGTGCCGCTAGGGCTGTGTCCTGTGTTTTACAGAGCCCACCCCAGCCCATTTTTTGCAGCAGGTGTTGGAACAGAGACATGAGGGAAAAAAAGAAAAAAGCCCCTCTGGTTCTGTTAAGACACGTCAGAACAAAGTGCTTTGTCAAGCTGCATGGCTTCTTAATCTCTGGGATGCCAGAACAAGTGCAGAGAAAGTTGGCCATTTTTAAGAACTGATTAAAAAGGTTCAGCTGTTCAGCGTCTCCCTTGTGTGTGGCAGTGGGAGCTGTCACATAGGCTTCCAGGCTGCAGGGAACACACCCAGGCTGGGGAAGAAGAGGGAAAGTGGCAAAGAAAGGGACTTCCCAGTTACCTGCTCTGTAGCTGGGCTGAAGGGAGAAATGCAGCACTTCACAGCACAGAGAGCAAGACGGCTGCTTTCCTTCATTCTACAGAAACGAAATCCAAAGCATATTTTTGAAAGGGACATTTGTGAAGCTGGTCCCCTCTCAGCTCTCTGTTCCCTGCCAGCTCTGGGAAAGCATTGCATTTCACTATGTGAGGCATTAGTCTGTATCTAAATAGTCTGCTACATGAGCTGTGATTCAGGCCCAAGCTGCTTTAAGTCCCTGTGTTGAAATGAATGGAGCCGTGCAGATTTTCACTGGCTCGAGATCTGTTCCTTTGTATATTTGTTAAAAGCAAAGGGTCTGATTCACCAGTGAGGTACTCCCTCTCGGGGCATTTTCACCAGCATAACACCGGAGTGATGCAGTTCAAATTAATTGCACTTATATAAATCACAGAAGCGTAAGCAGTTAGCCCACTGGCTGAGCCAAGCTGATTGAAGGATGTTAGGAATTGGGTAGAAGGCATGTTATTACATGGTCCTGAAAGGATATTAGCAACACATACTGCCTGAGTGAGGTCTGCTGTCAAAAAAAAGGGAGAGTCTGCGTGAGGGGTAGGTGAGTCAGAGTAAACAGGTGCTCTGGGTGTTTACGGCAAATGTGGATGAGAGGGCACTCACAGGCATGCAGCATCCATCCCAGAGCAAGAAAGGAAACACAAAAGTCGACCACAGAGGGTGGGAGAGTTCCCCTTGGCAGGAGAGAGGCAGGGATGGCAGACAGCAAAGATGTTCCTGCAGGGCCCTGTGCCAGTGGGCAAGGCCTTGTGCTCACCCCGAAGAGTCAGGCTGAGCACTTCTCCCCCATGTGTTACAATTAACTGGTCTGTCACAGCTTCTGTAGGTCATCGCTTTGAAAGCTGGTGTGAAGCGTCCTGCTAATGCCACTGTGCTGCTAATTGCTGCTCTGTGAAGCAGGTGGGAAGCGACCCGTGCACATCCGTTGCCTGAAAGATTGGTATGTGCTTTGCGCCATAGAATGCTTAGGTCCAAAGTTTCAACCATGTAGCAGAAATTGCCTTTTGCTTGTTTATGTGCCTAAATAATAACCTGTGAGCCTCAGCTTCTGACAGCTCCATCAAACCCCTGTCAGGCTTTCTGAGAAGGGCAAGTTTTGTTACACAGCTTTCTGGAAATGGAGTGCCAGAACTGCCTTTGTTATCAAAGAGGGAAGAAGGACCAAAACTAACTCACCAGCAACTCAGGTTTTCACATTAAAGAGTTCATGTCCTTATCATGCATCAATTATTAGCATGACCTTGGATCCAAAAATGGTAAATATCTGGATAAATCACAGCAAAATTCATTAAAAAAAAAAAAAAAAAACAGAATACGAAATGAGTTATGCTGGATGGCTGTTCCCAGAGTATTATGTTTTTAAGACACTCTACTGCTGAGCACATTTAGCCTGGGCCTGCTGTGGAGCCCACTGAAGATTTAGAGGAGCCCCCAGAAGTACCCAGCCCAGTGGAGCATATCAAATGTACCTCAAGAGGGCTATTGGTGTGGGTGATGGCTCCATCTCAGGAGAGATAAAAGCAGAAATAACTCACAGTATAGCTATTTCAACTCTTAAGCCTCCTATAATTCAAAGGAAAGTAAGAAATGGTTTTTATGGAGGAAAAAAAAAAAAAAGGAAGAAAAAGAGATCAGTTTTCAATAGCCAATTGAATGTGGAATATACCGTCTAAACTTCAACCTCAGTGTCATTTGGTATATCCTGGGAAAGTAAAGGAGTGGTGTAAATTTTGGAAGCAGTAAGGATTCAGTGGAGATAAAAGGTGAGGAGTACCTCAGATCTAATTAGGTTTGGATGGCTGAGAGGGATAAGACTGAAATTAGCAGAGGAAAGCAATTAGGGAATAGTATTCCTTCATTGCCCTAACATATGCACGTAAATAAATGTTTTTGAAGCATATCTTTAGGAAACCTTTTCTTCCAAACCTTTTACTTCATTACTGCAAATTCTGACCTGAACTGTCAGCAGAAATGGCAGCAACTTCAGGTGGAATGGTGTGAAATCACACTGAGCTCTGGGCTTGTAGAATTTAAGTTCAGTGATAGAAAAGAAAACTGGATTTTGGAAATTTTGCTTTTGAATTGAAGTTAAATTCTTCAAATTTTGAAGGCTTCACACCTTCATATACAGGTTTACTGAAATCAGGTGTTTCAAGTCAGAGTTATCAAGTTCAGTTGTGTCATAGGATCTAAGCTTCTGAGATTCGGTGAGACTAAAAAAGAAGTTTGTGTTTAGGACATGTTATAAAGCTAAGTGTTCCTTTGTGTTTTGTTAATTCAGGTTCATAATTCCAGCTCAAGCCTATTTAAAAGACAATGATTGAACCACAAAAGTCTGATTCAGCCTGAACTTTCAAAGTTCTTGAAGTCAATAAGCTTTGAAGCAGGCGCCTTAGAGGTCTAAGCTCATCTGCAATGTTATTATTATTACTTTAATATATGTATAAATAGTACTTATTGTGAAGGAGCTTTCTTTATTAATAAGATACAAGACAGTCCCTTTTGGACCAGGTAGTTCAAATAAGGGTGGCTTGTGTGTGCTCTCCTTCATGCCTTTGGAACCTCACTGTCTGTAAAAGGGTTCAGGTTAGAGTCAGTGTAGCCCATCATGAAGGGACCTGGTTGTAGTTCAGTTTTCCTACGTTGTTTCTACATGAAGATATTTTAACAATGGGCCAAATTCCCCTGTCATTCCCATCTGTAGTATCTCCTCTGCCTACAGCTGAACTGTTTCAGATCTGCTCAAGCAGATCTGAGATGTGACTTCAGTCGAATAAATACAACTCTGTTTGTGTGTGCATTACTACAAGTATACATTTAAACAAGTGTGCTACATCCCCGCAAAAGCTATTACGCTTCTAAAAGCGATGCTTTCCGCGCCGCATTCCTTCAACCATCCAGCAGTATGCCTCTGTATTACCCTGCGAGGAGCAAAGAGGCGCAGCTCTGGGGCCGCACAGCGTTGCGCGGTGGGAAGGAGCCACCTGCTGGCGGGTCAGCGCTAAGCGGTGCGGCAGCCGCCGCGGGGCCGCGGGCGGGCGGACATCACCCCCCGGTGGATAGGAGAGGCGACTGACGAAGGCAGCGGGTCTATAATATATTGGTGGCTTTTGTTTTATTATTATTATTTTTTTTTCCTTTTGTGATTGTTGAACGTAATCCAGCGGGCTGCCCAGCTGGCCAACAAGGCCGATGGCATCCCAGCTTGTATGGCATCCCAGCTTGTATCAGAAATAGTGCAGCCAGCAGGGGCAGGGAGGTAATCATTCCCCTGTACTCAGCTCTGGTGAAGCCACACCGTGAGTACCGTGTTCAGTTTTGGGCCCCTCACTACAAGAAGGACATA